AAATCTTTAGAAACTCTACGAGGTGTCTTATTGTCTTGTGGTTTCAAATATAAAAAATTGAACAATCGGATGGTCATAATGGAATCGACACGCATTGTTCAACTCCGACAAGAATATTTGAGGCAAATGAAAAACTACCGAAAATACAACAGACATTTAATCTACCTCGACGAAACTTGGTTTGACACTCATGATGTTGTCAAATATGGCTGTCAAATATTGCTGATTACCACAAAGATATGACTGCGGCTTTATTCGAAACCTGGTTCAGTGAGCAGCTTCTCCCAAATATTCCTCCAAACTCGGTTATTGTTATGAATAACACTTCGTATCATTTTCGGTTATTGACTACAATATCAAACAATAACACGAAAAAAGCAGATATCGTTGATTTCATGCGAAATCATGACATGGAAATACCCAAAAAGATTTCAACGAAAAAGGTATTACTGTCGACCATAAAACAACATAATTTCAAAAAAGAATATTATTGATTCGATGTGTGAAACACGTGGTCATATTCTCTTACGTTTGCCTCCATACTGATGTGTGTTCGATCCAATTGAAATGGTTTGGGCCACACAGTAGTGTTCCATAAACCAGCCGGTAAAATGAAATCCTCTCCAATAATATGAGGTTCACCTGTTGAAGCAATTAGCAAGGAGATATTGTAGGAAGCTTGGAGTCCGCCGTCGTTTTGCTTGGAAGCTGCTGAAAAAAGTTTTGGCACAGTTGGCTGAGCTGAGTGTTTCTTTTTTATCTGAATGCATTTTATTCAAATGATCTTGTAGCTTCATTCAAAAATGTTTTTCGACAAAGAAGGCACGTAGGCGGAGATGGATTTGTGGTATTTTTAATATTTTATATATTCCGTGCTATACTGCCGTTTCTTCTTTTTTGCTTCCCACATAATTTTGTCTTAAAAAACGTCGAAGTAAATAATAGAGTATTAAAAACTTGCTAATGATACCACTCACAGTATTCACCACCGCACGTGTAGCACTGTACCTAGCTAGTCGCTAACTAAATTCACTTGTTTTCGTAATATCGTCGAATGACATTACTGGCTGGATGGCGCGCGCGGTTTCACGTTGATCAGCGGGCGGGCCTAGTACTTTTGAAAATGGAGACTAGAAACTTCTCGCTTCGCATTGAAGCTTACCGCCATCTATTGTACAGTTTGACAAATATCGGACAGGAAATAGTTACTGTCTAGTCCCCTAGAGGGCGTTACACGAGGAAATGCGCGTTAAGCGTAAAGGAGCGGTAAGGTTTGTGCTAAAAGTATAAAAACATTTCCAATTCAGCCACCCCCCCTAGACAGCTTCAATGCCCCCCCAATTCCTTTACTGACCCACTATACTACTTCTAACACTCATATCATAAATAGCTATGATTATCATGAATACATTTTATAATAATCCATTTCAATTTCTTTACTATTAGGTTTCATATCATTTAAGTACTCTCAACCTAGGAGGAAAATAATCACTTGATGACCGATAGGTTTTTGGTTTGAGAGTGCCATTCAGTCTTAGCTGGAAGAGAATATTTTTCTCCAAAAACTATCTAGTCATTATTTTATCAGATGTTTGTACAAATGGAAGCGCTGCATTTAACTGAATTTTGAACTTTTAAAAAAGTATTGATTACAACTATAATACTTCCTGGATGAATCAAAATGTTATTGTCTGTATCCTACAAGTAATAAAAATTACTAGAGAATGTCGAAATAAATATTTTGTTTCAAACAAACATCGTTCAGCTTGAGGGTATATAAAAACATTTTACGAGATATCATAACAAGATTTATATAGATTGAGAATATAAATGAAAATATTGAATACAATATCCAACATGCACAATGTTGATGTATATTTTATCGAGTTATCAAATAATCTTTCACCCTTTCTACATACCTTTCAGGCACACATGATTAAAAAAATAAATGAGTGAATTGTATAAGATTATGAAACAATACGTTTTATGTTGAGTAGTTATGATATAATTCACTGACATTGATGGAATCGTTTTGATTTCTGGAATTATTTGCATCCATTTCAGATTTTTTCAACATGGGACCCCGTGAATGGGATCTCAATCAGATATATACCACCAAAAATTTTTCGTCAAATACTAGTATGATGGTATATGAGCGACACCATCGATATAGTAATTCTCACTCAAAATTTACATGTGAATGACATGTGGGGATCAGTCAACTTTTTTGCTATGGTCATTGGGGCATATTTCTCCGTTTCTTTGTTTTTCTCCCTGGCACAGACTGAATAGGTTGGAGAATTCCGCTTTCCTTTGAGCATAGGTGACGAAGTTTTCTGGAAAAAAAACGTATCATAATTCATATAAAAAATAACAATTTTGAAAAAACTATGGAGTGTGTGTCTTAAATATGATCAAAGTAGATTTCTCATAAGTGATGTGCAGAAAAAAATCGCGTAAGTTCGACAATTCAGTAGTTACCCGAAATTTCGCCCGCGTAGAATTTGATTTATCACATTGAGTTTTGTGGGACAGCATTTCAAACAAATAATTACAATATTTTTTTGTAACCCAAAACTTCAGGTTTCCAACTTCGGTTGGATGTTACTATAAGAGCGGGCAACAGCTAGTAATCTATATTTTTACAGAAATACAGTAACTAAAAAAGTATGCCAACTACACTAAGTAAGGAATAGTTTCGAGAATAATTATTTTACCTATAAGACATCCGCAAAAATAACACAACCGTCGACGACATCTGCCTCACGCGTCTGCCCGCGTTTCGATCACGTTCTCGGCCATGGCGCTTCATTGCTTATACCGCCCCTCCACCCTACGTATCGTTCCCCGTCATCTTACAGTAGACGCGACGCGTAATGGCTCACTGTGTTGCGTCAAGTTAATATTATCGTGATAACTTTTAAACGATTCGTCCAAATTACTAAGTGTGAAAGACAAAGTTTATCTATATTATATACTTGAAACGATAATTGTATCAGGTTTTCTGAGAATTTGACAGATATTCTGAAATGTGTTCAATTCAATTGTATTTATGGTCCAGTATTTTACATATAGTGCCTACTACAGAAGAGATAGATATATGCTATCGCAGACTTTCATTCAGAACTATTCAATCTTACAGTACATTATCTGCATGTAACAGGTGACTCCAACGGTATAGGCAGCGCAGGCCAAGATAGCTATCAGAGAGCAATAATTTTTCCGACTTACTTTATACTCATAGTGAAACAACGACAACTTACAGTGAAACAACAATAAAATTAACTGGGGCTCCGTGGCGACTTTATTGATTCCAGTGGCGCATTTGCTTTTTCAGCTGCAGGAAAACCCGGAAAAACCTGCAGCACCACATCACCTGAAGATCTTGATCTACCAATGTCCTCTCTCTTATAAAACTTATATCTCTCTTATACATACAGTTATATCATAACCAACACAAAACCTTTGTTAGGTGTAGCCTATATGATATAGGCTATATTAATGTAAAGTTTCATCTGAATCCGTTCAGTCGTTCAGGCGTAAAAGAGCCAGAAACATACATACTTACATACATTTATCCATCTTCACAAACTTCAACATTTATATTAGTTTTGTAACGGAAATAATTGTTCAACATGAACTTTGAAAATAATAAATTGTACTCTATGAATGAATGTAGTTTGAAAAACTAAAAAACGCGCTTTTAAAGATCATTGAACTGAAAATATTTTTTTTTTAATTAGCCTAAAATAATAACGAAAGAAAAATACTAGTATTTTTGTGAGAAAAGCAACAAGCGCTTGATATACAGAAAATATGGCACAAAGCGCCCACGCTTTTTTCACAATAATACTACTATTTTTCGTTCATTGTTGTTTCAAACTCATTCAAAAAATATTTTTAACTTTTTAGTTTGATGTTATTTGAAAGCATGTCTTTTAGTTTTTTGAACTATATTTATTTTTATGTTTTAGCTTCGTATGCTATAAAAGCATGTTTCTTAGTCTTTTTCAACTATATTTATTTTATCTAAACTTTGGGATCAATCAGCTGTATATTGTTTGAAAAAATGACCATTGATTTTTTCCGATTCCGAAGAATGAGCCTGAAAATCAGCTACCAAGCCTATGGCGCGCAATGGAGGGTTACAAATAATGCAGCAAGCGTGCGTTTTATCAAAAATATACTTTTTTCAAATGAAGAAATACATGCAAAGTGAGTTCGAATTATATCAAGGAGGTTATGTACAGCGCCATCTGCCCATGAATAGATCAAGCAATAATGTCGATAATTCTGTCAAATACAGATCCCGAGCTTGAGAGTTACAAACAAACAAACAAACAAACAAATAAACAAGCAAACAAACATACATACATACAGGTGAAGCTATTGAAAGCGTGATAAAAATATATTTTGGGAGTCACATAAGGTGTAGTTTATTTTATTCTCCTCAACCCTCTGGAGAAACTCTCACTTTCCCTCTACCTTGAAACACCAAGAATAAAATAGGGTCTTTCATTAAGTTCTTTATATCTTTAAATTTGAAGAAGCAAAGTGTGTGTCAGATATCATCGGAATTATTCATTCGTTTGAAATACCTTTTGATGCCATTATGTGTAAAATAAAATTAAAAATGTTAAAATGTTTGATATGGCTTTTCTGAGTGGAGCGCATCTGAAACGTCTAATTTTCCATGACTCTGGTGCAGCTATTAGGCTGAATTTGATCGCTGTTGCTTATGGCTTATTCGCATACACTTGCGACTTGAGAAAACTCCACAAGAAAAAGTGTAAGGGAGCCAAATCGTACGATTTCAGTGGCCAGTTTACATCACCTCCACGTGAGATGACCATGCCCTCAAATGTCCCGTGCAGAATATCCAATGTGGCATGTAGCGCCATCCAATTGATTCCAAAAGAAGTTGGTAATCATTGGCCTATAGAGCCGAAAATCCACACCAAACAGTGACTTTTTTGGGATGCATTGGACGCTCTTGGATCTATTCTACAACTTTATCTGTTCATGTGCCATTCATCCAGAAATGGGCCTCATCTCTGACGATGATTTTTAGGTGAAAATTAGGGTCAATTGTCAACTGCTCCAGAGGCTATTCAGCAAAAACACGTCATTGTTTTCAGTTCCTGAGTCAATTGAATTTTCTATGAATGCAGGCCCAAGTCATCCACCACATTGCTAATAGTCCTCTTACTAGGACGATCATGGCAACTGTAAAATGGACGAAGAGAACACCAATTTTGATGAAACAATTTCATTATATGTTATTGAATTCTTTTCACATCCACGATGATTCGGCGAAACAGACTGAATAAATGACAGATGTAGCTTCAATCAGATGACCGTTATCAATTGTTAAAGTTCGAAGGTCCTTATTGGAAGACTGTATACTATACAAACCAAACACACTTCCATTCATCTGAAAGCTTCAAACTGTGTTGGGACTGAAGTGTCCTGAGTTTAGTGGCTGCCGGTGTTCATAAATGTTCTTCCAGAAGAATTACACTCGATCAGCGGTTGACCAATTATCCATAACACGCGGAGGCGGAAGGAACTTGATGTTTTCCGAGATACCTCTCCCTCGCCACATTAGTGGCTTTTCAGCAGCCGCTAGCATTCGTATCCTATCAAGACAGTGCTGTTTGGTAGTCAGCAGCAAGTCTTGACTCAGACATAACCAATGACTATACCCCACACCGTGTGCCCTAAGCGGACGCAATGGCAAGCCGGCATGATCTAGATATTCGAGAGTAGAGAGGAGGACATCATTCCACCAAAGACTCCAATGATCAGAACAATCATCTTGATAGAGTTATCTGAATAGCGTCTGCGAAGTTTGAAGAGAAAATCTTGATATTTTGTCTGGTTTTTCTCTTCTTTTTGGATGACATTTGTCCCACCAGAAGCTGGCTGTTATTTATTTAAAGGTGGTTAACGAAGTCAACAACTAATTGCTTTTCTTAGACGTATTGTTGAAAAGGACCGACACTAAATGGGAAACATCTGTATATCGAAAACCCACTCATACAGGACAGTATCTGAACCAGGAATCTAACCATCATCAATCGACTAAGAGAGGAATCATCAATAATCTACTGGACTGTGCTTTCGGGTTCTTTAATAAAAAGGACGGGTTCGAAAAGGAAATGAGCATCTTCAAAAATGGCCGGAATGGTTACTCCAAAGTGATGGTGGAACAGGCTTTAGCTAGAAGATAGCAAGAGTTCCACAAGGAAGAGAAGCTTCCACAACCAGTACATCAGAATATCAGAACCTGTTTCAGATCTGGAAACACTATCCGTAGCAGCTTCATGCAAACCAGGCCACCAAACGCGGACTGCGATTCCAAGAATTGCATTTACCGGAGTGTGGAGAATCACACATTGATGAAACTAAGAGGCCATTGGAAGTTTGCAATGCCGAGTACAAGAAACACACACAGCAACGAGAAACCAGCAAATCAGGAATAGCAGATCACGTTTGGACTCATTAATATAACATCAAGTGGATTCAAGCTGAAATCATGCACAAGAAGGAACACTGGTTTAGAAAAAAATTCGAAAATGCCGCATATTATTTTGTCCAACAACGCATTTAGCTAACCTAGCGTAGAGATACGCAACATATGGAAACCTCCAATCAAGCGGAACATGAACAACTCTCACCAAAGGGTGAGCTTCCGCTAAAACCGAAGCGGAGAGAAAAAAGAGGGGACAGGTAAAACCACTCGAATGATCTACAAATAGTCAGATCTCTGAGGAATAGGTCCAGTCCAGTCCTTATTCGACAAAAATCAACCAAAAGGGTGAGGGAGCTGGGATCCAACCTGAATGAACTCAAGACGACGTGCAGGCGAATATGTCCAGTTGTCACCCGAAGACGATTGTGGATACTAACAATCGAAACGTCGTGTAGTAACTTTGTTTGAAATATTTCAATTTTTATTTTTCATTTCTTGTTAATAATTTCAATTTTCATCTCGTGTTACTAGTTAGATCTTTTATTTTTTGATGGTTGCTTATATTTCATTTCATTATAATTTCAGTTTTTTTTTACTCAATATAATTGTTAGTTTTTAGCTAACGTTCTAAATTTTATACAGTTTTTTTCAGGGATTTCAAATCAATGTATATCATATCATACAATGGAAGTCTGAACTAATGAAATCTGACTGTTATTACTGTTATTCCATTACCATGTTTTTTGCAATATATATTTTAGACAGTTTGACATAACAGATAGATAACACTTCATTTTGAGGTTTTAACATTATGAATTTCCATCAACCATTGACCAATTCCATCACATATTTCCACGCGTGAAGTGAGGTTGCGAAATGGTACTGTATTTTGTAAATTCTTGAACTTACCAAAGGTTATATAACCAAGCTGATTTCGGTCGACTTGGTCGAAAACTTCTAGAGCATAGTCTTTAGTTAGGGCTAACGTTTGACAAACTGCTTGGCAGAAATCATCTGGACATAATCGGCCAAATCCACTTCTGTCATAAATCTGAAATATTTCAAAATTATTTCAACACGCATATAAAATAATTGACGCTGAATTAAAATAAAATAAATCATGAATTATAGTCCAAAAAGCCAAGAAAACTGAAAGTATATTCTATTCAAGTGATTCGATTTTCAATTATTTTAAAGGCTAGAGTACCAAACTCACTTCTTGGTAATTTCTTGGGTGAACATATAAAGTACAACAATATAGGTACAACAAAAAATTTCAAAACGAGAATCGCCGATCATAAAAAAAGTTTTGAGACAAAAAAAACTAACTTCGCCTGTGTTTACCACCTTCCAGAAAATTAACACGACATCAACATGGACTACGACATATTCCATATATGAAATAGAGGATAAAAATTCAACCTGCTATAATCTCTGGAAATCAATGCAAATATTCACATTTTTTTTAAACGACCAACAGAAAGTTATCCATTTGCTATCATTGAACTAGTTCCAATAAAATGTTCATCGATTTACATATTCAGATATTAACTGTTTTTCTACAAATGATATTGTAATTATTATGCTTTGTACCTGTTTTGCTAAAATTAATCATTTATCTAATTGCGTTTTCCCAGGAAATCCAATACTTTAATTTTTCCTGAAAATAGCATTGTATTGTACCTATTCCACAGGAATAATTATTGTGTCATTACCTACTGGTATATAAATGCCATCGTAACATAGTTTGATGTACCAATAAGTGATAAAGGAACCATGTAGCAAACCGCCATTTGAATTTTATTATCAAAAAAAATATCACTAATTTGCATCTGGTAACGAGTAAGAGGATTCATAAACATGGTTTTTCAAGTTTGAAATTTTTCCCAAAAAGTCCCTTCATTTGAATTCATCTCAGTTCATTTCCATTCATTTTTACTCACCTTACATGCTATCTGTAGCACTTCTAATGTATTCCTTTCTTTCTCAATACATAAAACTCCTAAAAGATATTCCCTGAAGTCTATAACTCCAGAATTTTTCTGAAACACAATAATATCAACGATATTACTTAATTTATAAAAACAGAATATTGTGATTTTTTCCAAATGATTATTTCAAATTGAGTGGTTTTGCGTTAAACAAACTATTGGAGGTAACGTACGTAAATTTGCATATTTCTGTTCTGAATTCATGCAGCAAGAAAACATCAATTCGTTTGCCATCAATTGATCAAGAAAAACTTATCTCCTCCCAAACACGAAGAACAAAATGTTTTTCATATTCGGATACAAAGAAGTAAATGCCTGTATTTTGCATGCTTCATTAGAAAAATGCTTCTTTCAAATTATCCACATTCAATTTACCAATTTTCCTCATTGCTTTTGTGACTAGGTCATTGTTCATCCTGTCCTTTCAAGGAAGGTGAAAACGACACCAAAATACATCTCCTTTATATCGGCAGGTGTAGGCCGAGACTCGCCGAACATACACTCTCTTATTGACGATAACTCCGGACACTGAATAATTTCCTGTGCTATCTATGATGAGGAAATCATTTATTCGAAGTGTCAAGAGGATGGGTCCTGAAACAGTACTCTGAGGAACTGTACTCTCTATAATTCGCTTTGGATTGTGATGATTATCGACTTTGACACACTATGCGATCTTTGGAAAAACTATTGAAAATATGAAAGCATTTCCTTTATTCCTGCATGTTGCAAGTCATTCCAACAACTGGAATGATTGACAGTATAGACATGCCCAGATGCTGGTTTTCTGTTCTTTAGCGCTTTGTATAGTTTGCTAATTAAGGCTAGAGCGTCTCTGAATGAACTTTTTCTCTGGAAGCTATATTTATTAGGTGGCATGATTGAAGAAACTCTTCAAATTCACACGTTTGAAATCTTTTGTAATTATGTATGCAATGAGTATTGAAGATTGATTGTGGGATTCTCATAGTAATGTAGATAATCCAAAAAACATGTGAAAAATGGCTCAGGCGTCGAAGCAAACCAAAAAAAAAAGAAAAAAAAGGGTCAGATATTTGAAAATCTTTTTTTTTTGAATTTGATAATGGAATTATAAATAATGGAAGTTGCCCATTTCGTCAACCAGTCGAATTCAATACGATATGAAAATATCGGAATCAATATCACTTACTGATGACATTCTTCAACAAGATAATTGTCTGTACAAAAGTACAAAAGTACTTCTCACAAAAGCACACACCTTATTGATCTCAATATGGTTTGAGTCCATACCTTGTCATATATCCTGAATAACTGAACGGAAGACGCGTCATCAGATGGAATATTGAGGAGGTTGCAAAATTCCAAGTAGGTGATTTTACAACACTCTCTGCACGTCATATTTGACCTCAGCAGCGCTTCTTCAGTGTTGGTATTCTGCAGTCTGAAATTAATGAATAAATCGCACCAGTTACTAAAATAATCAAAGTAAACTATTTGTCATTTTGTTGAAATGATATTTAATGAATAATGTTGTTCTCGAATTCAGAACCACATTACAAAAATGATAACAAATGTAGTATGATAGAAATGACCAATCCATTAAAACGTATTCTTCAGGCGTCACAATACTGACGCCTGAAGATGTTATTGTACAGCGAAACACGTGTCGCAGCTTTGTAAACATTCAAGCGGAAATCTCACACTGAAATGTGTTTTTTGAATATCTAACAAATATAGTTTGGATTCATGATAGTTATATGAGGAATTAGAAGCAACTGCAAATATATTTAACGAAAAATGGAAGAGGAAAACATCTAACCGGTAGAAACAGGAAAAGTTTCATTCAGAATTGCAGATTGTTCAATCATCTTCAGTCAGTACTTCCTCAAAGTAGCGCCAAGAAGGTTGAAACCAAATTTTAGTCGCATTTGAATATTTCAAATTATTTGCGAATATCACTTTTCTTAATTGAGATCAACGGTTCTGGAGATAGTAAGCTATTTTCTGGAATCATATAGACAGATTTAACGTTAGATTGAACGATTAATCTAATGAATTTGAAAAATGTTCTAGATCGCAAATCCCTCCAGAATGTGTATTATGCATTTGCCTATTTAGCTATTTCGTATGGCATAGTAGTATGGGAACAAGCTCAGGATATCCAACGAATTTTCATTCTTCAAAAAAGAATCGTACGGCTCATTTACAATCTTTCCTACCAGACTTCCTGCAGAGACACCTTCAAAAAAAATTGTATTTTGACAGTTACGTGTATATACCTCATGAAACTACTCACATATACTTTCATAAACAGGGAAAACCTCATCAAACATAGTGTCAAGCATGATCATAACACCAGAAATGAAGATAATTTATGGAAAAGCAAATGTATATGTTATAAAAAATCGACAATTGTGGCAGGTAGCTATTTCTACAATAAATCATCCACGTCATCCCTAAGGATTTTAAGTGTAAGCTGAAAGAGCTTCTGATAGCTTCTGAATGCTTCTATGACTTGAATGAATTTGCAACTTATCTCGAAGAGTGAACGAGCTGGTTTTTTTCTTATACAATCCGTTTTTGATTTGTTTTCATGTTTATGCCTTTTTTTATTTTTTATGTTTGTATTTCTGTGTTTATGTGATTTTACAATGTGTATTTTTTTCTTTATTTGAAGACTCGCCTAATCTGTTAATTGAATTTGAATAACTAGTTGAAGGCAAAACCACGGTTGATGAATTACACTTCATTCTAGTTTCACTTGAACATAAAATGCACAGTGAAGTGTGAATCTCAGTATTGAATGACCATTCATTACTGGTCGTGGGGAAGACCGAAAACAAACGGAAAACATCCCTCTACAGAAAATCAGTGTAAACTAGACAGTAGGTGGGATAGCAGTGGGTCCAAAGTGAGTAGATCTATTTGATCCTGCAATGCGCTAGGGTTTATTGTGGCTCACACCTATTGAAATGAATCCAGGTTCTTTGGAGGGGCGATAGCCAGTAGGTTAGTGTCAGCGAATTGTTCACCCACTCGATCAACCGCTATGTGGAATGTTGGTTCGAGCCCGATGACCGGACGGCCTATCAATATCTATTTTCTGTATTATACTCACCCCAATCTACTTCGCAATTTTCTGACTTCTACAAGAGATGCGGCATATGGTAAATTCATCTCTCTGGCCTTGATCATCAACTTACAATCATCGTAAGAGTAATCGGTGACGGGTATCCCTAAAGCTCTGTAACAATCACACAAGAATATAATTGAAAACTGACCTTGTTTTCAACATAATCAATAAATAGTTTTCATTTTTTTATTTTCGAAAATCGGGATATCGGGAAAATATATCGAATTGATTATATCCCTCAACGCATGGAAATGATAAAACAGTGGAAGGTTAGGTAGCGTTTATAGTCTGGTTCATATGTACTCGATTTAGCTCTATTTGGTGACATTTTTCAGCCCTGTCCAAAAATTACGACCAAGGTGTCATTCGATTTGTATTTTTGCCTAGAAAGTTTGAGGAAAGGTCCAAAAACGCGCCGATAAAAATTACAAAAGTTATAAACAATTAAGTGAAAAAAAATGGGGCTTTAGTTTTTTCTTAATGTTTCGGAAAATTTTCTGAATTTTGGAAATATGAAATAAGATTCGAAAAGATCAATGAATTTGCGTAAAAAAAGTCCCG